ATCTGCCTTCTTTCACCGTGTTCGCTCGAGTGTGGGTTGAGAATAATAGCTGAAAAGCGGGCTGAGGGATCTCAATTTTTATGGCGTGTCTAGCCGCGTCCCGGCGTGAAGGGGTTAACACATGGTAGACACAACAAGAAGATATTTTTTGAAATGGGTAAATCTGGATTAAATTTAGAAAATTGTATCCAACCTAAATAGAGCACTTCTATGGTGTCACTGTCCCCCATACCTCAAATAGGCTAATGTAAGTTTGGTGATGCAATGTAGACATCCACTGTTCATGTGCATGTATCCTTGGTACCAGTAACTTCATATTATAACAAAAGTGGGCTTAATTTTTATGGTTCCCTTACCTCCTCTTTCTTGGTCATCTTACTCATTGTCTCACAAGCAATCCAAAACATGATGTTTTCCTCGCTAAATTCTCGCTTGAGAAATTCCTAGAATACATATAAATGAACAAAAAAAGCTTTTAACTGTTAACATTCTGCTCATGCACATGTAAAAAATGCCTTTCCCGTAGAATGTAACCTTGCATCTTGTGTTCATAACAAATGCTTACGAAAATAATGGCTTCCTCCATGCGAAATTTAGAAATGAAAAAACAAGCGTTATGACTAAATGGGCTTTAGTGCATGGAATTAGATTAAAAAAGTGGTCAGACAAAACATAAAAGTACATGTAAAATGTTTTTACTGTACAAGTTTGTACAATGGAGGATATTTCTCAGATTCACTCTGCCATTATCAACAATTGACTGGACATAAGCCAAGGTCATAGGAAAATACACATTGTAGCAGTTTAAATATCACAAAGTACAAAACTCAGTGAAAAAATACAAAACAGGATTTTGCTTCTGGGACTTTTATCTTAACTTTTTTTGCCCTTGGAGAAGTTTGGTAAGAAAAATGCTTTCGGCAAGAAAAATGCCATAAATTCATGGAAATGGCTGATGTCTGACCATAACTCCATACTCCCTAGGACATGGTGAGATCGCCGTGATGAGATTTCAGACTGGTTTCTGAAGCCTAATAATGAAGAGAGTAAACTTGAACACCTACTGTGAAGCAGGCCAGGCCAAGTTCATCTTGTAAGAGATGATCAAAGCTGACAGCCCAGCTAGATACTCTACCAATCTCTTGATTATTGGCCAGATCAAGAAGATTTGGATTAGACTGGTTTCCTTCACTTTTCATTGCTGAATCTCCTTCTGCTGTATCCAGCTCTACATGAAGACAATAGTACATGCATGCTTTTATGCAACATTCAAAATACTGACGTCTATACACACAAAAAAATACACATGTAAAAGACTTTAGCCTTTACCAAACATAAACACCAGGCATAACTCTTAAACAATCTGAACCTGTTGCCATTGCGAATTCTTGTACATTAGGAGCTTCATTTGAAAATTAAAAGCCATTCCAAAAGGTGTTTGCGGGACATATACATGTATGTAGGCTTCTCATATCAATTATTTAACAAAAGGTGTACATGTAAACCCTGGCTTATCTATTAAGGACATATAACCACAATTTAACTTACCGCTACAACTGATTATCATAACAAATCATATCATCAATACATGTAGGAACTAGTACATGTACATGATTAATTCATTGAATGAGTCGTCTCATTAAATAAGTCCAAACTCTACATGTACACAGTAAAATCTGCATATTCACAACAAATTTGTCACAGGATTGAGCTCACCTCCATCTGATGCAGCCAACGACTATGGGGGAAAACAAATAAATCAACAATTAATTATATGTACATGTACAACTGTATAAAAGTTTACAAAATCACAAACACTCATACCGGTGGTTTCAAAATTCAATGAATTAAACTGCAGTGAAGTTACTCGACTACTAGTCGAGACTACTGTGTAACTTACTCCTACATATATGTAAAAGACAAGCTGGCCTTGGAGCAAAGCTGAGGAGGGTGAAGCACAACACTCCCAATATGCAGAGATACATGTACATGTACATGTATGTACAGTACATGTATTACAAATACTACACGTCCCTTTATGTAACTTTCTGACTGGACCTCTGTACATACACGTACATGAACTCTCAGAGGAACATGTATGGTACAGGGTACATGTACTGTACCAAGTACTTTACTACAGTAACCTGTTCATGTACATGTAAATGTATCCCTGTATGCAAAAGCTTGCCAATGTCACATGGACATGTACAGTTGTACATGTACCAGTATATAATACACATGTGCGTGTATACCCTTTTCTTACATACATTTACATGTATATGTACCATATACTGGTACAGTACAATTTACATCATGTACATGTATGCATGTACACTGTATACATGTGGCACGCAACCACAAAATTATACATGTACATGTACCTGTGCACATACATGTACATGTATGTACATACTTACTCTAACAGCGAGAAGTCGACTACTTGAAGACTGAGAGCTCCTTGATTTGGCAAATTTCTGAAAAGCACTCATGGGAACAGCTCTTCAAAATATTCCTTTCACGGAACAATTTACCAGTCACAACAGAAATGAAGTGTGTATATTCATGAACAAGTACAAGCTGATGCCATTTAACTTCCTTGATGTTTCATTCAAGCTGTAAAGAAGGAAGACTGAAAGTTCCTCAAAGTACCGAACAATGTCAGGCACACAGAGAACAGGAAGAGCCAGTGCACAGTGCACAACTAACAGAGTCAACCAATGTACAATTAGGTACGTAAATGTACATGCACACTATCAGGCAGGAACTTATTTCACTTCCTGGTAAATGAGAAAAGGTCACGACATACAGAAAGTGCGGAAGAACAAACAATAGGACACAACTACCTGTTGTGCACGCATATGTGTATACAATGTACATGTACCAATGTACGTGTACCATACTGTAGAGTGTACATGTACATGTACAGTACGTGTACAATACACAGGTCCGTATTGTTCACCTTTTAACACAAATCAGTTTTTCCCATTCAGTTCCTCATCTGTATATTGTGTATGCACATGTTCACTCGGTTATCAAGGTCTCTGTTATTGTTAAGCTTTTAAGGTTGATCGATTGCAAATACAAAATACACTAAAAACAGCGAACAACTTTGAAGGTCTAAATTGTGTTTGGTGGGTGATTTAATTTGTACATGTATGTGACTTACTACATGTACATGTAGGCCTAGCCAACAAGCAATAACTAATAACTTCATTTTAATTCTTTGACAATTTTTACGTATTCACTGATGTCCATGTATGTGTATGCACACAATTAACCACAACGTATAAAGTGAGACTGGCGTTAGTACTGTAGGAACCTGTACATGTATTTCCACAAAATTATGCATAACTTGTACTTGTACATACAGGTGTATATTTGAAACACAGGGTACTATTTTCAAGTGTGTGTACATACAGTACTGTACATGTATGACAAGAAATATTTGGTTTCAAGCTTCCAAGAGCTTACAATGTATGAAGCACTTTTAAACACATTTCAACAAGACGAATGTTGTCATTGTCACAAGACAAACACTGAGCTGTTTCGGTGACCTCTGTCATGGGCAAGAATCAGACTCAAGTCTGTAAGTCCATAACCACTGGACTATGCATCAACTTTGTTCCACCACCACCACCACAAGTTTGGCCCTGTTCCAAGAAACATGCCAAATAAAACTAATATTAAGTCATCTTGAGTGAATACATGTACACAATAAAAGGGATGGATACACCTGCTTTACACTGTATTTTTAAGTGATAGACTACTGTTACAGTGTAGGGTAATTTTTGTGATTGGCAGGTCACGTGTGTGAACAATATCCAGTAAGACTAGCCATGCACCTGGTAGAAATGATGTCAATGTTTACATTCTGTTATTTAATGGATAATACAAGAGTATATCTTTTAGGATTTAGTTGCCATTTTTGAAAACTTAAAAGGTCTTTTGTTTTTTGATGATGTCATCAGTTTCAAACCTTGCGCCTATGTTGTTGGCACAAGTCCTATTGTCTACCGGTACCAAGTGTCCAGTGATTACAGACTTTGACACACACATCAATTGAAAATGCTCTTTTCATTTGCTGCTGCTCCCCCTGTGGATGGTGCTTGAAACTTTCATGACGTCAGTAGTTCAAGTTTTTCAGAATACTACCAGTATCTTCCTGGAGACTAACTCGGTGTTTCTATTACAAATTTCAAATAATAAGGCACTTTTTCGTAGGGATCAACCCATGTAGGTTTAACTGCTGATCCGATGTCCGGTAATAGGATCAGTTTTTGCCTTTACTGTCACTGTTGAGAGAATAAATCGTGTAAAGTGTGTCCACTGATAGCCGCCGAGCACGATACCGATGTAACCGATCACACAAACCCGTGCGGTGCTTACCGGTACATGTACGTGTACATGCAGAATAGACATAGCACCTCAGGCTGAATCATGGTAGCCTTTAGTCAAGGTACGCATGGCACCACTACACCACTGCATTGGTGTCTTCATCGTGCATGCTAACGGCAGAGGTGCACGTCACGTCGTGTGTTCAAGTAGCCATGCATGCCTTGAATAAAGGTTAAATCGCAGGCTACCTTTCGACTGCTCACACAGCACCTCATGTGTGGTGCCACACATGGTGCAATTCCCCGGGCTGTTTTAATGGCCGTCAATGGAAACAGTACACGTTCAACGTTTTGCCGATGTTCTGATGTTATGACCTGATCTGATGTCCAATCCAATCATTGGTTGATCCCTATTTTTTGTTTCAAACGAAGTAGGAGTCATGTGACTGAAAATAAGGCCAATAGAGTATTTACTTACCACTTGCCAAAAAACAAATTGTAGGAAGTCACAATTGATATAAGAAACCTGGTTTCTGACAGAGACCTGGTTTTATGACACAATTCAAGAAAGGTACATGTATCATGACTTACCTGTCTTGTACCTGGCTGTTTCAGCTGCATGTTGAACTGCGAAGCTTGCTGAAGGTTTTGTTTAGACATCTTTAAGTTTGAAGAACTGTATTCTGAACAGTCACTGTTACGTCTTATCAAATCGTACTGCAATATAAAGGTGTTGAAAGTGTTTCGATTTCATTCATAAGAAATACTGAAAATTCAAAAGTGGTATTGATATTAAAATCAATGAGAAATACATGTGCACTCCAGGTCATGTACACATGTACACTCCAGGTCATGTACATGTTCACCATGTACCTTTCATATACATGTATATGTACATGTACCTTCAACACAAATCCACAGGAAGTGTTTTGCCACCATACATTTATAGTAGGAACGTGAAAATTACTTACACTCTACTTGGCAGGAAACATGAGTACTTGTGATAATACGTGTACATACATACATGTATAGCTGTGAACACTGCTTAACCAGGTAAGTCTGTTTGTACATACATTTGGATGCAATGCATGTACATGTATTAGTATGTACATGTACATATCGACACATGTATGCCACTTTTGACATGTACGAATGTACACGTGTGACCATAAACATGCAACATCATTCCTCAATAATGTGTTTTTGACTATCATTCACAATGACAGAGCTGTACTGACTCATTGAGATGGAACAATTACTTTGTAACAAGAAGAGTTAATATACATGTACATGTATGTGTCTACAATAAAGGCTATTGGTCATCATTTCAATGGCTGGATATTTTCATTGTGTAATACAGTAATTGCATACCTGTCTTTGCATCTTCAACGGCAGCTGTGACATCCTTTGTATCTCTGCTTTTTTGTTAGGATGCAATGGCTTCATACTTCTTCCTTGGCTAGCATCCAACTTCGCATACATGGAGTGCCTTCCAGTAGGAGGTCGACCTTTCACGCTACCAACATCAGTTGTTTTGCTTCTTGGCTCAGTATGCATATTACATGTACTTGTGGCTTGTCTTACATATTGGTTGGTGATACTTGGATGCATCTTGACATGCACACTTTGCTTTCCATTCTCTTGCTTGGACACTTGCATAATTACAGGACTACAAAATCCCACAGGGTCTGGTCTCACTCTGGGGGTCAAACGACCAGAGGATGTGTCATGCACAGTTGCACTAGGTCTAGCAAGAGGTGTCACACTACCATTGCGATCTTTCAAGATGGGATCAGGTCTTGCACGTGGAGTTAAGCGCCCTGAAGGGTCAAATGCATGTATCTTACTCTGACTTAATGTATTTTTAGGCGACTGTTCAGGAGATGATGGTGACATAGAAGACAGTGAATATGAGGATTGTGACGGGTTGATTTCAGCATGTGCAACATATCTGCTTGAAGACTCACTGATTGCCATGGCATTATATTGCTCTCTTGTCCGTTGTTTGCGAATATGTCCTGCTACATCTACAATCATAACTCTCTCTCCATGTTGGTTGCTTTCAGTACTTGTCTCCTTACCATTACCAAAGCCACTGTCACTATTACTGCTGTTACTGTTTGAACGTCTTGGGCCTGCTGGGTATGCAGACTGACCATAGAAATCAGCAAAGTGGAGCCTGTCACCATGACCACTATGTAATCCGGCAATATGAGTTAGGAGGGGACGGGAAGACATAGGAAACTGCTGACATGTGTTTGTTGCTGCATCATGAACACACTCAATGCCAAACCTCGCAGCCATTTGGAAGTGAACATTGTGATAACTCAATGAAGGGTCCACCAGAAAGACGTGGCATGAGCTTCCAACTGGTTCATCATCACTATCAACACAATCAGAGACTTCTCCCTGACTATGTGCTGTTACAATGCCAAAACAACGCTTATCATCAGGGCAAATTCCTGAAAATGTGATACTATCTGAATGGTAAACTACAGTCACTTTGCGATTGGCATTGATCAGTTCAACTCCTGTATTAGTGATCTCCATCAGCATTACAGAGTGGACTCGTTGTTCAAGATGCAGACGTCTTACACAGCCACGTATTGCTTGCAAACTTGCTGTTGGTAAATTAGCTGAAGCTGGGATATCAATGGAGCCAAGATAGCCCACTATGGCACTCATAACTACCTGATGTTCTTTTGCGGAGTCAGCAGATTTTGTATGTTGGGAACTCTGCTTTGAATTAGGATACAATGATGGATACCTTATATTGGACACTTCAACTGGGGTCAGAGGCCGTAAACCTTGGTCAGCCTCATCATCTTCATCATAGAAATTGGTGTGGTTCTGGACAGAATGTGCCCTCTGCCTTTGTCTACTTTCTGCATGACGCTTAACTTTCCGTGGTTTTTGAAAACTGGTCATTTTTTCAAAGCCTCTTCCATTCCAGAAAGTGTAATCATAACTACTGGCAGGTTTCTGAAGCTTAATTGTTGCTTTCCCTGTTTGGTTGTATGGACTAAGATGTCCGGGTGCAAATTTACTGGAAGGATTGATGCCTGTGGGTGTCTCCACCTCCAAATGCTCATGAATAGTTCCCTGTTTCATATGATCCTTATTTCCTTCATCTCTGTCGGCAACACTGGGTGTAGTGCTTTTAGATCTCATGAACCGCACTCTTGGGGCCGGTATATAATCATCATCTGAAGATTCTGACTCATCTAAGCAAGCAACAGTAAGACGAAGGACTCCTGATGTTGTTCCTATAAGTTTGATAATCTGCTCATGTCCTACACGAGTAACATTCTCTCCATTCACAGCCATGACACAGTCTCCAGACTTCAAGCCAGCAACATCTGCTGGGCTCCCTGGTAAGATACTACTTAGAATGCAAGGATACTGTCCATTCATAGTAAAGCCATAGCCATTACGGCCACGTCCAACCTCCACTGTCTTCATGTTTGAGAAACTTGTCTTTGGAATTTTGGTTTTGTTTCGCCTGCTGAGATGCATCTTGGCTTGAACAGCTGGGGTCTGTGTGCAAAGAAATGAAAGGCCATTATCAAATATGAATTATGTGTACGGTATACATATGGATATGCTGAAAGTTTTTGTTCATGGTGAGATTTTTTGAATTACTAAATTGTTTGAATTAATGTACATGTGTAGGACTCAGATGCAACACACAACATACAGCACATTGCAAAGTTGACCCATGGAAACATGGGCTTTGTACTTGACTCCATTCTGTTTGATTAGTAATTACGTGAACATCACTTATTGCTATTTGATATTATTATCATGCCAGGAACAACACCCTGGTTACTGGGACTAGGCATGAATAACCCCTGGTGTTCTATTTTCAAGATGTATTTTTTGCGTTGGGGAGATGTTAATTATATATAACGGTTTGCCCGTACCCAACGTATATTAATAAGCACTGTATGCTCAGTGTTCTAGTTTGGCTGGTTTGGGATTGTTGGGGCTAAGCAAACCTTGGGGTCAAAGCAGAATTGAAAACTGACAATGATATGTGCTGAAACGTTTTTGGCTGGAACTGCATTCGGTAATTTTGTGAAATTTTGATTCAAACATGGTGTACGGCCTACCTTCACAGCACTTTTGAATACATGTACATCTAAGTTTCAGTGTGTAGCCATCTATGTTGACAGTTGCCCTCTGTGCCTTTACATGTATCTATCATAACTGTGCAAAACGAAGAATACTCTCTTGGGTGACATTGAGCCATCTAGGTTTATCAGGAGAGAGTAAATAAATTTTTGAATTCACAAAGTCACAAAAATAGGTAAGATTTTAAATAATTTTTCCTTCAAAATTTGCCTGGTACATGTTAATATATGGCGCAAAAGGAGGCAAGGAAAAGTATTAAGAAAGTTGATTAATTTACTTGGAAAATGTGGGAAACTGCAGGTGGCAAAATACTTCAAATTGTTTTGAGACTGTGCATGCACTGCTGCCCTAAAAGCCAAATATCTCAGGGACGAAGCTATACATCTATATGTAAGTCATGATTGATCCATGCAGGGTAGTCCCAGTAACTTGGGGAAAAAGCGATTTGACACCCTGTGCACAAACCCTATGAGACAGGTCTGACAAATTGCAGGCACAGACCTGCCAACATCTTGGATCACAAACTGTATTCTAAAAATTCAAAAGTCATATTTTTCATTAAAAAATCGTATTTTGCAAAAAAAGAGAGCATATTCCTCCATGTGATCATTTTGACCACTGTCTTGATTGGGTCTAGTCCACGTAACTTGGACTAGATTAGATCAACACTTTTTCATGCATAAAAATAACCACATGAGAAATCCTTATCGAGCTTGAAGAGTGAAATGGCCCCATTCCCACCAGATTGGACCACGTTTTCAACATTTGAATCTTGAATGCATATCGCATGTCCAGGCTTTTGGAATTCTCTGGCACTGATTTTGTTGCCTACTTGCTGGCCAGCAGTAAAATGTCTTCATCCTTATTTACTTCATCAGATTTTTAACTTGAGGATCAGTCCTGTCAAAGAAAACATCCAAAATTGGACCCTATTTAGACAATTCATACACTGGTATTGCACTGACATGTATGTTGATGAGTCCACGTCCAAAAATTGTTTGAAATCTTTTAAAAAAACAAAGCACTCAGAACATTTAAAAGTCATGCAATAATGTATGACATAATTTCTTTAGCCTGCGCCAGTTGCCACAAAGCCCTCTATCGGCGAAAGTGGATATTTACTAACTTTCTTTCAAGCCACATATTTACAGTGGACATTAAATGAGTGGAGAATGTTTGACACGACTTATACTGGTGCACAGCAGCTTTAAAGAGTCCCACTCGTGCATTATGAATCCTGATATTTCATGGGAATACTGATATTTCATGGGAAGCCAATCACAACATAATGATTGGGTGGTTGCTGGATACACACAAGGTTTGTACATGGTGTATGTGTGCAAGGGTATGCACGTACGGAACACTGTACAGTACATGAGCAAATATGCATCCATGAAGTGTACAATTTGTATTTGTTTTTTTCTAGTACAATGAGCACTCGCAACTGCTGAACTATGATTTTTGTCAAAATGGCCGAAACCTGTGTTTTATGGGGGAGAAAACGTACGACTGTATTTTCAAGCATTTCTGGCTAAATTGTACTAATTGGCAGGGCTTCAACTGCTTTCTAAGTAAACAATTTGCTTTTTTGCCTCCTAAAATTGAGCATTTACGGACATGTTTTTGCTTTCTGATGGCTAGGGAATAATTACTGATGTCCGTATGTACATGTAGAACTCTTCCCTAACTTGGACTCTACAAATCACCTTTTTTAACATTTGGACAGTACAGGAGTAACTTTACAGTTTCAGTGAGATCATAGCTACCAGACATTGTGGCCTTTAGGAATCAGTTGTCGGTGCGCGTGTGCCAACATGGCATGATGTTTTTAGTGAATGGTCCGCTAGGCGCTAAGCCAGCGTGCCGTCCTCTCCAGGACATTAGAATTTACATGTAGATTAACAATAACATCCAATTTAAATCACTATTTGAACAAGATGGCAACTTCAAGCTCGATGACGAGCATTTTTGATTTGAGAGGGAAATTTCTCTTTTCTTCCCAAATGTGGGTGAACCTTACCATCACTGGAATCTCTGATTCTCACTTACATGTAATCCTAAGCAAGATGCTTTAAACCATGTAGACAGTTTGAAGTGTAAGGTAAATTCGGAGGATTTTGATCAAGGTATACCGGGTATAAGGTTACAAGCTATTTTGAGTGAAATGAATTAATGGAAGTTTTATGGAAAACCTATGGGAGGTAGGTCTATTCATATCACTTGGACTCTACCACTCTCCGATTGCCCGACCATGTTTAAATGTGAAGCAGGTGAATTCGGGGGATTTGCTTCCAGGTAGGCCTAGGCCTACGACATGTACGAACTATTTCCAGAGAAGTGAATTTAATGGAAGGATTTCAAAGCCTACCCTAGTACAATTGGACTCTACTCTAAAAAAGAAGGTGATATGTAGAGTCCAAGTTACTCGGACTAACTGAGGCCAGTGCAAACATTCTGATGGTTGGGATAACGTCATTAAGTTTTGATTCCTCTCTCCGATTGGTTAGTTGGTGGCTATTCCATATTTCACACTTGAAGCTTAAAGGGGCAAAAATAGTGTTGCAGTCTAAACTCTTTAACCTTATATCAAATATGCCTGAAATTTCACTATACGCTATGAATATCTAGTTATCTACCACACTGTACTGAAAAGGTTACTTTCAGTAATTTTGATCATATTGCGGCAAAAAAGGAGGAAAACATACAAATCCCTGTACGACGTGAGTGGAGAGTTGCCCAGACGTGCGCGCAATATAAATGGAACAACCTACTGTACATCCAACCGCGAGAATGGAAAATTGACATGTCCGCTCACCCCAGCTACTGGCCTACCTGCTTATCCACCAAGCCTATCCGCCCCGACCTCTAGGCCTAAAAGCCAATCTGGCCAACTGTCAAACATGTCAACATTGTTGTTCTACTCCATTTGACCTTTTATTTGGTTTAGAAGTTGCAACTCCATGCGAGGAAAATCGGCAGGTAACTCCTATAAGTACATGTACGTATGTATGACAGGCTGAATCTTTGCCTAAGCTAAATCATACAGCAGCAGTTATGCTGGTTCCCATCAAAATCGATATACATATGTACATGTAAAGCATGAGTAGCGCCATGATTCATGGTTCCCGTCAGTAAAAACAGATCGACCGGTGTCAGTCACTTCGCCCCATTTCTACTTCGCCCCATTACCACTTCGCCCCATTTCCACTTCGCCCCATTGATTGTCGTTTAGTGGTCTTCAGGGTACAGTCCACTAATTCAAGCCCCATTGAAAACATTGTAAAATCACCATTCTTCAGAGCTCAATAACATGCAACCCAACATCCCTGAGGTGTCTCCCACAAAAATCTAATTATTATTCGGTCATTAATCTTTCAGTTTCTTTTCAATTTTCAGGGGGGTTAACCAATTACAATTTTAATTATTCACCCAAAACAAAACCAACCCCCCAGGGAAGTCGAAGTCTTCAGCACGCAGCCATTTTTCAAATGGCAACCCTCTACTTTCACGGTCCTTTGGGAACATTTTCAACCGTATTTTTTATCTCTTCCGCCCTCAGATGGAAGCCCAAAGAACCAGGGACTCGATCCTGGCAGAGATTTACACAATCTCACCATTTTGGGGGCCAAACAATCCCTTTTTTCGAAAGTTACTGTGGGCGGGGGCAGGCACTTTTAATGCTAATGAGCCTGGCGGAAATTATTGCTTGAATTAGTGGACTGCACCCTTCAGTAACAGCGTACTGAAGTATCACGGTGACGTGAACCAGAAAGTACGGTGCAAACGAATGATGGTACGCACGTGTTGGTTCGTGCGCTAGTTCTCGCGCTAATGCCTTTGCACACTAATTGTGCGCGGGACGTATTCATTTGGTACTCTATAGGCCTAGATGGAACAAAACATCGACGTTTGAATACCCAAATAACGATTCGATAATCCAACTTTCAAAGACCAAAACAATGCTTGCAATTTCCCGACCGCCGGACCCAAATTTTTCGGGGAGACCCTAGAATAATTTTTACCAGCAAGTTAATCTTTTTCCGTGTTTCGTTGTCGCTGTGGTAAAAACGCGAGCGCAAATGCTCGTTCCCGCCGCGCTGCAGCGTGTACTAATGCGTGATGGCCGGAGTCACGGTGTGACGACTGTCACTGAGTGTCTTCTACATATGCCGCGGCGACCGTTCCGATACGTGATTTGTCACGCATCGAAAAAAAAAATCGATGTTGCAAGATTTCTTCACGTTAATTCTTAGTAGTTTGTCTATGTGTGTATTTTCTGCGTTCATCAGTTTAACTTTAGGTTGTTTTGCTCGCACTTGAAGCGAGCATGTTTCCACAAAATTTCTTGCGCGTCGAGCTTTATCCGACCATTTTACCAGCCTGAGAACGACGTGAACAGAATTGTGTGTCACTTTGTAATAAACTTGAAGAGTGACCCCAAAGCTAGTCCAACCATATGTGTCAATTCACCATAATGGACAATGCAGTCGACATTAATTTAATGCCGTAGAGTTTTCTATAATACATGTCAAACAATTTATCATCTTAGCAACCACTTTAAGGCTAAATTTCTGATTTATGTAGCATTTCTTTTCATAATTCTGTAGTATTTATTTGGTTTAAGCCTTTTAGAGCACATACAGAGAGTTTCAATGTGATCGTTTGTTAACTTTGTTTAAACAAAGTCTTCAAAACAAGAAGGCTCAACAGAGGATTGGCAAGTTGGTAAGGACATATCCGTATGGCTCACGAGGGTCCGGTCAAGTTTTACCGCCGCGCACGGTCAAAGTCGTTAATTTCCACTATGTACACAATGTAGGTACAGTAGGTCTAACATGTACGCCCACACACCCGAATAAATCCCCGGCATCTGATTGGTAAATCGTTGATGGCATTGAGTCATTTTTACCAACACACGCTAGGCGCACAACGCGCGCGCGACGCACACGCAGAATGCAAAATATAGGGTGCGTTCGATTAGCTTACACGTGTAAGTCAAACTTACACGAGAGCGTTCGTTTAGCCATCAGGTGATCCTCGTGCCTGCCCTGGTGTCAGCCACTACTACCCCGACTGGC